TCAATGATTATCATAATTATATTTTTAAAATTTTTATATTTAATATGAGATGTTTATTCTGTATTTGATTATGTTTATCTGCAGTTAGTTACACGAATTCATATATGGAGCTTTAATAAGTTGTACTTACGCACAATCTACTTGTAATTTTGAGTTTTAAGTAACATGCATTAATAAACAATACCTTATGCATAAAAAGTGGTTTTTAAGTGTTTTTGTCAAATTATTTATAATATAGTATATATTAATAAATCAGTACCAAACAAATCATTAAAACTAAAGAAATATTATTAAATCATTATTTATTTTCAGATTCAAATTATAGTTACATGTGTGTGCTATGATTCCTTTATTTTCATCTGAATGTGAAAATTAAATAATTAGTAGATTCTTTTATGACTGATATTTGAATATAACAAATAAATATTTGTTAACGGAAATGTTATATCGTCATTTTATTTTATAATATTACTTTAACGGGTAAATTATATATTCCTTTCATTTATTGGTGTTAAATATTATTTGATTTTTTTCAAGTACTTAATCATTACAAATGTAAAAGTTTATTGATTTTTTTTCCATTTTAGTAAGTTTAATCATTTATTTATTCAAAAAAATAGGTACTTAGATCACTTAAAAAATGAAAGTACTTTTTGGAGTTTTTCATTTTTCATGTATTAGGTACTGTTTATTGATGCATATTACTTAAATTCAAAATCACAAGTAAATTGTGTATATATACAATTTATTAAAGCTTCATGTTTGAATTCGTGTAACTAACTACAGATAAATATAATCAAATACTTGATAAGTATCTCATTTTAAGTATAAAAAAATCTAAAATATATTTAGAATAATTATTATCTTTATAAAGAAACTATATTATTAAACCAAAAGTAAATAACTTCATTATTAATACTAAATTAAATTATAATAAAAAATTGAATTATAAAAATTACACAAAAGAAACTTAATCCTATTTGACCCACAAAATCACGGCATGATCACAACATTTTGAATTAACCCACATAAATTAATTGCATAAGTTTGTGATATAAAACAATAAATCAAAACGCTAAAAATTAAAATTAAGAACACGAAGAACATGTATGCTTCGACATTATTGAGCTCGGAATATGACATTTTGGTTCTTTTTGAATCGGTTCTTTTGTTTGAAAGTCTCGAGGTTTTTAGGGAGTTGGTTGAGTGGCTATGTTAGTTCCAGGATGTTGAATGGGTCTTCGGTAGGCATCATTATGTCCCAGAAGGGCTTGTTGTACATGATTAAAGCCCGAGTGTTGGTCGAAGATAGATCTTGAGGGGTTTGCCACGATCTTACTATAGGTTATCGTCTATGTGTTTTTTTTTTGAACGGAAACCAGACAAATTTATAAAACCATAAAAGAAGTACAACGATTAAAGAGGGGGGGGGAGGCAGTGGAACAAGGGGAACTGTTAGAGTAGCGAGCTCACGTGAAGGAGAGAGCGAAACCTAGTGCCTTCGGAGAAGGAATCATCATGTGTGCGTGTATGTCTTTGTGGTATATATAATATTAAACAAACAGTAGAGACAAAAAAACAAAGAAAATCGACAAAACTCAAGAACCAAACTGTGATTTTATGTTTTAATTATAATTTATTTTTTTAACATACAATGTTTTTACTAAAATTTTTTATCCCTGTTTTGTTTTGATATTCTCGATTTTGGTTTCTACACTTTTTTTATTACGAAATTTCCATCATGGTTTGCAATTTCTCTTGAATTTGGTATCTTCCACTAACGGCTGTTAACTTTCTTACTAACAGCTGCTAACTTTCATCCGCTAATTGAGGGGTATTTTTTTTATTACAACCCAATCTCTCCCACATGACCACACACTTAAATCAAATATTCATCTCCGATGACTGTAGTGTCTTACATCAATAGGGAACTTTTTTTTTTTAGATTAACCTGGATATCCAACCCGCTATGCGATCCGACTAATCTCAGGGCAACCACTTGCTTTGCCGATAGCTTGGAGTCACTGCGTTTGAACCTCTATGGCCACAAGGGGAGTTTTATTCCTCCTTGGATTTGAACCTGAGACCTTCTGATACTTTTGATCTTTGAAGTCAAGCTCAAACCAATAAGGCACCACTCTTGTGGTTAATAGGGAACTTCTTTGACACCTAGTCATAGAAATAATGGTCGAGAAGAGAACCTAAACTCAAACCCAAATCACTGGTGGTCATCATCATCATCATGGAGAGCCCATATCAAACCTAATGTTCATCGTCTTCTTCCACGATTATGACAGTAAATTACTTTATTGATTAGATTGATTGAGAATGCGTACTCAATATGCAAGGGTCAAACTAGTGAATGAGCCCCAAAATATACAATAACAAGAACATAAGTCAACAAGAACTTGAGAAACTAATTCAAATCTATTTCCCATCTCTATCACTTTAGCACCTTTATATTTGATTATTTAACAAGATGTCCCATATGTGGCATACGATCGCGTAAGAAAGCACCCAAACGGTTAAACCCAAGGTTAATTATAGCAAGAAAAGATCTGTTGAGTGTACTGCGTAGACACGAATCAGAAATCAAAGCACATTAATCAAAAATGCTGGCCGAGTTAGGGTAAACTGAAACTCAACATATGGCTGGTTAGTTCGTTTGGTTAATAATTAAGAAATAGATTATCAAATGATTAATAAATATAAAAAGTCGATGCACGATAGTTACATGATATATGATATCAAAATATCGTATAAGAACCATGATTACGTATTTTATATAGTAGTACCAATCAACTTAAATTGGTACTAATATGCATGATGTTGTCTGTATGCATGTCGGCTTATTTAGTTTGATACGAAATTGACACCACTACATAAATGCTATAATCGACTCGTGACTTTTCTTGATATCCCAAAACCATATAAAACATTAAAACTAGAAAAAAAAGGCATTAAAAATCCCGAGTAGCGTAAAGTTACTCGGGATTTTTTCTGTTTGTTCTTCAAGATTTCTGAAATTAGTCGATATGTACACAAACTGTTCCGAAAACTCATAGTTAACTTAAAAAAATAAAGATTGTTACGGATTGATTTAAAAATTAAATTTAAATGATTAAAATACATAGAAAATATTGTGTGTCAACATCATGGGCAGACAAGAAGAGCGCGTTAGATGTTATGGTGTTTCCCCTTATTTGGTTCTACCCCACACTCGAAAGACCTCTTTTGTTTTTTACTTTTTTGACTTTCTTTTTCTTTTTATTTTATAAATCAGAAGGATACTTGTATTGTGTAATGCATCGAGATACATCTTAATTTTATTTTTATTTCTTTTTATGTCGATATAATAGGGTTTTATGTGGTTTTGAAAAAAACGATAATGTTTTATTTTTGAATAAAATATAAATTTGAAAATATTATAAAACTTTGGAAAAAAATATATTGATATCAATATCAAATTTATTTTTATAAAATTTTGAAATGAGATGTTTATCAAATATTTGACTATGTTTATCTGCAGTTAGTTATACAAATTCAAATATGGAGCTTTAATAAGTTTTACTTATACACAATTACTTGTAATCTTAAATTTTAAGTAATATGCATCAATAAACCGTATTTTATGCATAAAAAATGGTTTTTAAAAGTTTTTGTCAAATGCTTTATAATATAACTAAAAGAGTACTCGCGCAATTCAGTGAGACACATCTCGATTTTAATGTTCTATTTTATTATTTGTGTCTATCGATGTTATAATACGATTTTATGTGTTTTTAAGAAAGCAATAATGATTTTATTTTTGAATAAAATATAAATTTGAAGATATATTATAAAAATTTGAAAAAAAAAATATATCAATGTTAATATTAAATCAACTATTTAAAAGTTCTCATTTTTATGTAATTTCTTTAATTTGTTTTTTATTATAATTTAATTTAAGTTTAATAATGAAATAATTTTTTTTTGGTTTAATAATATAACATTTTATAAAGATAATAATTAAGTATTHTGTTARAACTCAATGATTATCCTAATTATATTTTAGATTTTTTATATTTGAAATGAAATGTTTATCCAATATTTGATTATGTTTATCTGCATGAATTATACAGATTCAAATTTGAAGCTTTAATAAGTTGTACTTTTGCACAATTTACTTGTAAT